GGCGGGTACAGGTTTTTAATGATCGGCCTGGAAAATCGTTCCGATTGGAGATCAGCCAGGCGATTTCCCACGTTACGGTACGAGATCGATCGAGGAGAACATCCGCCGGCACCTGTAACCTTTCATTGAATGGAACGTTCTTGGCCAGATGAAGCAACCACACCCTTCACGATGACGTTCCTTCATCCCCGTTTCTCAACCGATCGTCACTTTCCTCGACCGGTGACCGGTGAAATGCGGCGTCCTTTTGTTTCAACCGTCCATTCACCTGAATCGAAGAGATCTCCCCTCGTTCGCTCTCCCTTTTCCACGTATCTGGAAGAAGAGAGAGAGAGAAAAAAAAGGAGAAAAACAAAATAACGCAGCGGTATCGGAGGAAGTCGAAGAGAGTGGAAAGGTAGAAGACAGAGTAGGAAACGGGCCAGTATAATTACAGGGGCGATCTTGACCAGGGTGGATGAGTGACAGTGGAGACCATCTTTCTCAATCTAATGACTCTTCCGCAGAGGAAGTGACGATCTGAAATTAGCCTGGAAAAATGATCCTCTGTTGCGCATGCTTTCTACCTTCATTTCAGATTTGTATTAATCGAGGGTAAAAACAGTCGTAAACAGAATTTCCGCTAATCTCGCGAATTTTCGTTCAACTACGCTTCACATTCAGCGGCAGAAGGCTAGTTTCGCGAATGCAAAACGTGCAAGTGAAACTATAAACTGATGAAAAATTAATCCGCAGCTGCACTGGTGTCTCCATCCTTCGTTACCAATTTGCAAATCAGTAGTTCCGAGTAAAATGAACTCGAATAATTCATGGTAAGTTTGAAAATTTCATCCATTTTCCTCCAGTGGAGCTGCTAGGGAGGGTGGCTTTGTCATCATAGACGCATTAAAGTATCCTCGCTTTTCGTTACCATTTCGCAAGTGAGTAATTTCGAGTATAAATGGATAGAAATAGTTTATGAAAACTTATTCAAGCCTTCCTCGTGCACGTGCCGTCCCGTATTATCTCTCAACTCAACCCTTCACGAGGAAGAGGGTAGCAACGAACTAACTTCAACACATCTTTGTTCCTCGTTCCTCGATCGGTAATCGAGTAAGAAGAATTTGTATTTAGCATCCTAGCCAATTGAAACCTTCGACTGGTAATCCACTTTGTGAAATCCATAAGTGCGAGTAAAAAGAAACTGTCTCGATCCACGAGGCAAGTGCAATCGCGAATTTAAATCTCCGAGTCTGTAAGGCTGACACCGTACCGGCAATAATATCGATAACCGAGAAAAGAGAATTGGAATAATTGGCGAAAAATTATTGAAACCTTGGATACGATCCGTTTCCACGAAGCCGGCGGGAGAGGGGTGGCTTGGTGGCCGCGTCACAAAAGCAGGAAGACAATGGAGGACGGGAAAAGGGCGAGCGCGCACGAGGAAAAGAGAAGGTTCCAGGGGAGAGAGTGTATCGAGAGAGAACGTCAGCTGGCTGCGTTCTCGCGTGACGACGCTCCAAACCGTTGGCTTGGACTCCCTTCGTCGCCGAGGAAGAACCCGCCCGTCGTGTATCTCTGTCCTTCATTACTATTCCATGTGTCATGATGGAGGAGTGCACGCCGCTTGAACGTGCACGAGCGCGGTTGAACAACATCACCAGAGAGAGAGAGAGAGAGAGTGAGAGAGAACTGGCCGACAATCAGGTCGTGTGCGTGTCCGCCTAAGTCCGTGCGTGCACGCGCTCGCGCACGACCGAGCCTCTAGCCTCTTAGTCGTCGTGTTCGTTCCCTTTTCCAGGAGAACACCGCACCGGGGTGTTCTCGCCAACGTGCGTGTTAAGAGAGTGGCCGTGCTTCTAGCCACGCTAGCCCGCAGCGCTCGATGTCAACTCGTTGCCATGCATCTGCCTAACTGGCCTTCGGCTGTCACGCCATCGCGTCGCGCCGTGGAGCCGCATGATCTCGATACGTCCTCTTCTTGTCCTCGTTCAGCCCTGCCTTCGTGCTAAAGATCGCGAGATCGACGAGAATCGGCGAGGATCGTTCGCTGATGATTCTTGTTTGGCAAAGGTGTCGTCGTCATTTCGAAGAATTGAAGATAATTGGATAGAACGGAGTACGTAAAATTACGCAACATGGCGGCAGAGGTGTACAGCAACACTGTGGAACGCGTTTCGACGTCAGGGGATTCAATATCGAGCATTCTACGATTGATTGCCAAAGATACACAATGCCAGGGAAGGGAACATTCGTTTATACGTATTCCATTGAATTTTTTCGATCCAATCAAACTCTGCTATATATATATGGAGTAAATATTGAATTACGACGTAGCGAATGTATAAAGCTTTTACAGCCGGGCTTACACACGTAGCTGTTGCAATTCTAAAGCTTCGAATACAGACTATTTCCAACAAGAGTTACATGCCGACGTTTTTACCAACATTTTAGTTTTTTTTTTTTTTTTTTTTTTTT